TTGAGATTTGTCGAAAGACGGCAAAAAACGGATTCATTTCTGAATTTTACATCTTCAGCATATATCAATTTGACGTTATCATAATATTTATTTTTCCTGATCTGAATTTCTCCAAAACTGTAACAGATGGCTGTTTTCAATACGTTGTGGTTTACAATAAATCTGAGATGAAAGAACTAATAAACCGATAGTAGTTCAACATTTATTAATTGCCACAAAGCCCTTTAAAAAGACAACTGTTTTGCCCTGGTTCAAGAATCTTTATTCAGGATTATCTGTGAATTTTAAGGTTTAGAAGTAAACCATGTTGTGCCATTTAGCCTTGTTTATCGGAACTCAGATCAACTTAATTTTCAAGTTCTCTTCATTCATTGCATAGCGCTATTACTGTTGACTGCTATCAGTGAGGGCACAATGAATAATGCTCGTGACTGCAGATCAGGAAATTTCAGGTTCGGATCCTGGAAGGCTTGTGAGGTTTGATGCGTTGGTGGCACAACGGTAGAATGCTTGCTGACTAAGCATGCGGTTTGGGGTTCGATATCTTGGTCACCAGCACACTCCTTTACCTGGCTAAGGCGGGGATTAAACTGGAAAAGCGAGAAGGCTGGACATGAGGCTAGCAGCCCCATCTTGTAAAAATGAATACCACTGCTACCGAAACTTCAAAGCTCTAGCTTGACGTCCCATGTTCCACTGGGAACGTAAAGGAATAAAAAAGCCCATCAGACAGCAAATATCTCGACTTGATACCTGACGTGGTTGGACATAATAACAAATGGCCTCAATCGGAACTTCAGGGAATCTGAAGTTTCGTGTTGGGGTCGGTTACTCATGAGTGGCGGACTGACAGAAGTCATGGATACAACCCGATATGGTTTTCCTAGCCAGTGAATATACTTTTCTTCTATATCTGTGTTATAACTTTTAAAAATTGCAACAAGTTGACAAGTTACCAATTTTAAATGTAGTGGTAGAACATCATTACTGGAATGGGCTATTCTTCTATATTTGACAGGTTAATTTCTTTTGTCTTAATTATCACGCTAATATGCATAAATCAATATACGTAGGGCCGAAAGAATTGACGATAAGCGTTTCTCACAGTCGCTTGTAATGTAAGCATTCCTCATTGTAAAAAATTCTCCATGTTACACCTCCTATCGTGTCACTCCAGTTTATATCGATTTATAAATCACTCTACCAAATAAATCATGTAAATCCCTATCATTCTAACGAATGACTTTCAGAATATTCCTTCAAATAAAATGGATGGATTTATATCAGATGATATTTGTGGCTGGTGGATAATACTCTAGTGATCACAGTTTAAGGCTTTGGCTTCAAGTCTTCATGGGATTACCTTTGAGAGCTTAGTCAAGTAAATCTGATATGCTCATAGTAGGGTAAACTGGCTTCAAAGATTCTGATGTTTAACAGAACATACTGAAATGGAACTGATCCTTTATGTACTACTTCATCGTGTGTGTGTGTGTGTGTGTGTGTGAGGTTTGATGATAATACACAATCGTCTAGTGTAAAATAAACAAGGGACCTGATAGAAACCATAAATTTACCTGCTGAAATTCCAGTGGTACTAGTCACCTTGTAAGAAGTATATTGCAAAGGAGTTGAAGTGAACATGCAGCGATTACTTGTAAGGAATTCATGAATTTCTGAGGAGTGTATCATTAGTTTCATGAAACAATATATTGGCCTGCGAATTTTGGGCTACCGATATCCACGCTGAAAATTCCATACTTGTACCAAAAATACGGTGTGGAGTCAAGCTGTAATCAAAATACATTTACTGCAGTGCAGACATCAACAACCGAACGTTGTCAAAATGCTTGAAATTTAACTGTTTAATCCGTGGCATACATTCGTGTTTGATCTGACCCTCAAGTTAATTAACTTGCCATATTCGCTGTTGAGAAGCAATTGTTATTAAGAATATTTTACATTTTTTCTAGACTTATTCTAAAACAACAGGATTTTATTTCATATACATTTCACATTTAACAGAACTTTGAAGTTCAATGAAATAGTTTATCTTTGACTTATTTGATCAACAGTCCGATACAAGTAAAGTACATCTTAAAATACAAGTGAGTTGTGCTCACATCTGTCTATTTATGTTTATATTAAATTAAGGCTAAACATTCAGACTACTTATTCATTATGTAAAAGTAGCTATTTTTCTATTATTTAAAATATTTATTTAAATGCATCTGATCAGTAATCACATTTAGACAAAGTCATTCATTCATTGTCTGACCGAATCATATGACACACAAATCAATAATTATCAGGCTGTCTGTTGGTATTGAAGGTGATTTTATTTGTTTAATATTAACTCTAGTTTTTGTCTTTTGTCTTTTTAAAAAAAAAATTTTATTTGATAAGAAAGTGAATACGACCTTTTTGTGTTTTAGTTGCACTTCAAGATAAGAATATTTCAACTTGAAATTATTTCAGTCTGACTAAGTTCTTTAGATAAGAAAAAGGTCATTCAGACAAACATCAAACAACTGTTAACACTAATTTGTTTGTGTGTGTGTGTGGATTGTGTTGGTAAGCTGCACAGCTTTTACTGCTTTCTTAGACAATAGATGTTGTGCAAACAGACATTCAGAAGTAGCCTTTTGAAATACTGTTCTCAGTTTTTACAAAAACCGACTCTAATTATTTTTATTTTATGTTCTGTTTGATTTCTTCTGATTCTAATGTCACAAAAACCACTGTAACCCTTATACTGTTAACTTAAATTTTAAGACAGATCGTTATATTCTATGCTAGATCTGATGAAAAGAGGATCCTCCTCGAGGAGAATGAATGGTGTTCACTTAACTTCATGTAAATATATAGTGTCTGTTGGTATCAACACGTAGGAAGTGGTGGAGCTCAAATTTCTTTTTCACTTTTTGCTATTTTAATACAGTACCTTATGGTACAATTGACACTGCCTTTATATGATAATTCTCAAACATTTATGCTTCAAATACCAACGAAGACTAAGATCTTGGTTCACTATTGTTACTTCTCAAGTCCTTGTTTATAGAGATTTCATTAGGAAGGACAATGTGGGTGTTTCATCCTAGTTTGTAACTCTTCAGTAGTATGCAACCGTGGCTTCATTGGGGATCGAATCCATGACCTTCAAACCACTGGGCGATACTGTCGACCTGACATTAGTGCTTGGTCACTGTGGTTAATATGAAATATCATAACATTTACACGAGGATGCTACTTCTAGACTCGATATTAATATCAGTCACTTAAATACTTACAATTATTACAAAGGGTCATTTTCACTGTTGACATTAAATTGAATGTTGGTTACCTAATAATGTAAATTTACTCGCAGCATTTAACTCACTTACTGTTCTGATAAAACCCTGTTTCATTTTCTTAAATGATTAATGACTTTGAAGTTAGTTCTTTATTGGTAGCTGGCAGCAGAATTCATCAGATGTGTTCCGTTCACTTCACTACTCATTACTAAGATGTGTCTTCTCCCTAAAGAGTGATGGTGTTCCGACTGGTAACAGGACCTAGTATCCATCGCTTCAAATCTTAAACTCCAGTAATACACAAATAACTTCAGGTGAATAAATATGCTTACACTGAGGAACTCTTATTCCAAACGAGTCTGAATAATTTATTACAGATATATTAACGGGGGAATAAATTAATAAGTATATAATTGATATGTTGTATGTGCGCTACTGACAAGATTTATAAGTAGTATATGGATGCAGATGTGAATGTGTGAATACCTTGATTGGACACTAGCTAGTGAGTAGTGTAGTGTGTCTAGTCCTTTGTTTGGTGCAGACTGAATTCTGTCAGTCAAGTTTACAATGTGACCAGCATTCTAGGTGGCTCAACATCACGGTACACTTTGAATTGTTGATATTTTAGATGGTTAGAGGCAATTAGCAGTTTGCACCAGACAAAGGACGCGACACACTACACTAGTCACTGACTAGTGTCCAATCAAAGTATACAATACAGTCCTACAGAAGGTCAGTCGCGATCCTGAAGAACTCAGTGGTAACATGTCTGACTGCATGTTGCACTGGGTGACATAGATTCGAATCTCAGAAGGGACATCAGTTCCCTCAAGCTTGCAGCTACGCCTGCTTTACTGATTGGTGAATGCCAACTAACTAGCACGAAACCTACATCAAGCTGGGCTTCCTCCCGATTGCCTCCAACCATCTACTATCAAATGTGTGAATCGTCTGTAAGAATATGGAAGAATAGAGAGGTGGATTCAATGGACGATGCATGTGCAACAACATGGAAAACACAAAATTAAGGTAAGAAAGGTAGCAAAATACCGGAGATATGTGTAAATTGTGACTCTAAAATACGACAGACATATTTCGCCTATATCTGCGTATTGAGTTCCCAAAATATAATTTTGTCACTAAACACTCTTGTAACGTGTCGTCACAATGTTGGTCGATGGAGGACATGACAGCTGTCAGTACTAACCCACAACATTAACGAATACAACACACTCCAAATGAATCTGCTGACTAAACTGTAATAAATAAATCATACTTTTATGATTATTTCTCCAGTCATCACTTCATGGTGACAATGTCTTACTTTAGAACAACTGTTCGCTTCGAAAGCAAACCCTAGTAAGATTATTAGAATATGCATGAAAACGTATATTTTTGTTTGTCTTATGTCGACAGTTATTGATGTATACCAACCAGGATTGCTAGTTCCTAGTGTCTCCGTGATCCATTGGTTGAATGTTAGCCAACCAAACATGTGGTCCAGCATTCGATTCTCGGTTGACGCACTCTTGAATCTCATCAGGCCGGTAATGAGTCTGGTAACAGGGAAGGTCAGGCCTATAATAATAGACTCTACTGAAACTTCAAGAATAAAGCTTGAATCCTGTATTCCATTCAGAACACAAAATTACTGAAAGAAAAGTCGGTATTGCATCAAATCGACTCAATATAAATCTGTGTGATTAGTAGCATCAGCTAATACCAGCAAGAACAGGTGAGTATTTTACTTAGAATTTATTAGATTATGTATATATAACACCACGAATACATCAACGTAATTATAATTTGATTCGGTGAATTATTCGAAGTCAAATGAGTTATCAGAAAAAAAGAAATAACTTGGTGAGAAGATAGTTGTATACACATACAGACAGATAGACGGGTGTTTCTTTGCGGTGGACAATCTGTAACATCTTGTCGTTTGTTTTCCATCTGTCTGTCTGTCTCCCTCATTAAATACTTGTTCTTCTTAAGTCATTTATCCGTGTAACAAATATGTACATTGATTTGTGTGGTACTCTAGTTAATCCAAATGGTGTAAGACTTTCTTGATTGACTGGACTGATTGTTTCAAAATGTGAGCGTACAGCATGCTGGATCATGAATTCTTCATTAATTGCCGTCAAAATATGTTCAACTAATTGATTTGCTACAGGATAACCAGGACATGATCGCGAACCTATAAATGAGTAATGAAGATCATTAATGATATGGTGAATATTAATTAGGTGATTTTAGCTAAGAGTGTGTGGGTTGGAGTGGAATTTACGTTTCATTACTGGACGAGTAGTATTTCCTACCTAACTTCCTGTGCAACATAATCCATAGAACTCACTCTGATTCATATTAGTTTAATCATCTAATTATGTCGGCAAATAGTGGTCCTAGAACGTGCGAATTCATTAATAGCTCCCTGAAACATTTGTGAAACTATTACATATGGCTTATTTTATTATTGTCATTATTATACAACAAATATAGTGCATTATTATTTCCTTTAATTCCTAGAGGAACATAGGGCTTCAGCACCACGTCTCCATTGCATTTGGTTCTCTGCTAACGTTTTCACCTGGCCCCAAGTCTGCCCACATGCATTCATATCCTCTTCACATCACCTCCTCCAAGTCACCCTCGCACGGACGACCTACTCGCCGCTTCCATTTCGAGTTCCACTCGATGGATTGTCTAGTGATGTCACTTGATGGTTTCCTCAAAGTATGGCCAGCCAATCCATCTCCATTTCTTCCTGCCTATTTGCTTCACAATCGGTTTCTGGGTGGTTCGCTCATTGCCAGAGATCCCTGTTGCTGATCTTTTCTGGCCATGTGATCTTGAGTATTGAGCGAAGGCAGCTGTTGATGAAGGTCTGTAGTTTGTTTGGAGTGCTCTTTATGACGTACCAAGTCTCTGATCCGTATAGAAGCACTGACTTCACATTTCAGTTGAACATCCGGATCTCATTTTTGATGCTGAGTGCTGATGATCTACTCTATACAGACTTGAGAGTAATTTATTTTATTTTTATTTTTTTTTATTTTTTATTTACAGCTTGATTCCACACTGTATTTTTGGTACAAGTATGGAATTTTCAGCATGGATATCGGTAGCCCAAATATTGCAGGCCGACCATAGATATCAGGTGTGCGCCGGCGTGGGCTCGAACCCCGGATCATGTGCATGGTCGGCGAGAGTCCTAACCACTGTGCCACCGACGCTTGTCTCGCTTTCCCGATTCTGGCTTTGATATCCTCATCAGTTTCGCCTGTAGTTGAAACGATGCTTCCCAGGTAGGTAGGTAAAGGATGTTGTTTCTTTCAGATTTCTCCCATTTGTGCTGATTTTTGTCTGTTGTTGTTGTTGCTGTTGGTGTTGGCCAGGAATCTTCATCTGCTATCTCTATTTTCTATGTGTTCATCTGAAGTCCTATCTTCTCCAGATGCTTCTTCTGACAGCTTGATGCTTTTCACTGGCATATCTTCTAGTTTGTGAGAAATCAGACATATATCATCGGCGAAGTCCAGATCCTCTAAGTTTTTTGTGTGAGTCTATTTTATTCCTGTTTCCTCGTAGCCCACTGTCTGTTTGTCACATTATCTAGTCCACCGAAATCAGGAAAATTACTGACAATAGTAGACAGCCTTGCCTTACTCCCGTCCTCACTTCGAAGGATTCCGTAGGTTTCGCGTTGTGGATTACTTGGCATGCAACACTGTCGTACAACTGTTGGAAGAGATGTATAATTGTCGGTGGCACCCTTCGGTAGTGGCGAAGTAGTTGCCAAATCACCTCTTGAAAGACGCCGTCGAATGCCTTTTCAAAGTCGATGAAGTTGAGATAGAGAGGTGACTGTCATTCCAAGCTCTGTTCAATGATGATCCGTAGTGTGACGATTTGATCAATACATGACTTGTTTCTCCTGAATCCTTCACTATGGGCATCAAGAAATGTGCCATGTGAGGGTTTAGATACTGCCCAGATACTATGGACTTGGAATCAGGGTTTTTCAGCTCCCCTAGGTAGACCAGAATGTGCAATAGTCCACATCCGCCCTTTTGTCTTTATGATACAATTGTATTTACTTTCTTTCACATCTGGCTAAAGGCCATATGAATATTGTGGATCACTTATTGAACGGGATAAACGGATTGAACACAAATAAATGGGCATTACCTCTGTACTTTAATTGGCCTGCCCAATTCCCCATCTCTTGGTGTTATAATATGCATATATATATATATATATATATATATATATCACTTCTCACTTCCGAAATTCGTGTTCTGCCTTCTGGCTTGACAGGGTGTATTCTGTTTCCTCTTATAGGTTAAGTTGTTCTTTAAGGTCTAGTCATCTGTGTATTTCAGTATCCTGTTATTTCGCTCTTTCGAAGGAAAGAGATCATGGCCTTCGGAGCGTATTTCAAATCGGATAATAACGTATCTTAAGCACTAAATTCGGTCCAGCCAGAATAAAACTTTTATTATTACTGTTAAGGTGCCTTTTTTCTTCTAAAATTCATAGTTGCGTTTATTCCTGACATAAGTTCATATTGAATTAATAGGCATTAATAGGCATACTGTATTCAATTTCAGTTTAATACAAAGGATAAGATAATCACTTACCAAGGGAAAATGGTATCGACATATCACTTTCTTTCATTTGATCATTCGAGCTGACTTCATTATTACCGAACTTTTTCAGTTGTATATTATGCACAGCGTAAAGATTATATATTAGTATAGATGATTTTGGTATATGATAGCCGTTAATTTCAAAAGATTCACGTACTAAATGAGGCAAGGCTAACGGTACGACGCTGGCCCAACGATGTACCATATTGAAAACACTTGAATCCAGTTTCAAAGGATTATTTGTTGGTGTTCTTGACAAATAATCACACGCCCATGTTAGCGTTAGTGAAGTTGTATCAGTACCAGCCGCCATTAATTCATATGAAAGCCGGGAAATTTCATTTTCTAGATGATTTCCAAATGTGGGAATCAAAACACAAACCAACGAACAAGATTATAGACATGGTGTTATAAAGTGAAGGAGATTACTTTCAAAATCTTATTCCACAATATCGCCAAAGATTATAAGTTAGTAAAAAGCCTATGGTGTCTTTGAAGGCCATAAAGAACAGATTGAATTATAACTAGAAGACCATCAAATTGTTTTATTTTATGAGTAATGCTAGTGTAGCCTGGAATTCATAAGGAATACATGTGAGTAAGGACAAAATAAAATAAACAAAGGTAACTTGATTGAATAGCCTTAAACAAGAATGGAACAGCAGTCCGTTTCTCCATTGAATCTCAGGTAACTCGTTTATCTGATGATGATTCTCAGTGGGATCTACCTCCAAACCTGTCAAATATCTATCAGGCTTTCATAAGACTAGACTGTATATACATATATATGTTGCGTGAGCTACTGAACAGATTTATCAGTAGTATACAAAGAGACGTTCATCGGTACAATAACATCAAATAGTAGGAAAATAGATTTGAAGTGTAAAAATGCTACATGAACCGGTGTTGCGGCAAGACATGGGAGACGCGGAAATAAGACAGAGAAGCACAATACGAAGGTTAGAAGTGCCACAGTACTGAAGATCTTTGCAAATGACGGTTTTCTTCTAAGGTGTACTTAATTCCAAATAAACATTCCGTTACCAAGTCCACTGTCCTCTGTCAATATATGTATATATAAATATGCCTTAAAATATCATTAGATAAGTGTAACCTTCCATCCTTTTGATTTTGAATCTTGCTGCTGGTGACATCATGATAGCCACTCCGTCAATGTGTATTCATGGATTATCGTCTGGTTGACTAGGGTAGATTATTCCCTGCCCAATTAATAATTTGGATATTTTGCACCCATTCCACCCGATGTCACAGGTTCCTAACACTTCTGTGTAATGTCTGTCCATTTATTCGTCAATCCAGACAGCCTTCCCGGTTGAGTACAACTGTACAAACCTACCACGTCCTGACACCTATTTTCGCTTTCATCGAAAGGAGCCGTCAATATATCGGCTGACTAGTTTCCCAAAGTTTTTCATCAGCTCATGTCACTTCGTCTCTCAGATTCTAGCGAGGAATTAGATTGTTTTTTATATTTTTCTTGTGCTTTGAAGTTTCGTAGCAGTTTGGATGATCTTCTGGGGTAAGGTATCTAGTCATACTGTCAACCTTCGCTCCTTCATGGGGCTTAGAACTGGCTGAAAAACTAGGTTATAGAGATGTAGTCTTAAATGTCAAGATAGCGAAACACAGGCGTGTTAAGAGAAATACATTAATTGCGCTTAATTATGGTTCACCAAGGAAGTGATGTCAGAGACGGCTGAATATCCGATTCAACTATTAAGACACTCCAGTACTGAAGAACTAGTGATATTATTAGAATGCTTAACGAGGGATGATTCGGATATATTCTCTCTGTAGAATTGCATGTGAATATAAAGCACATAAAAACATGTCTCATCGTCAGTCGATTATTTCAACTTTATGATCTTGTTTGGAGTGACTAAAGCCTGTAACATAACCGGCTTTTTGACTTTAGAGTTTCTGTAATAATTTCAAATTCGAATGTAGTCTGTTATATTAAAAAGTTACACAACTAGAAATTTACATTGGAAACTAATTCATAGTTTTTCAGTTTATGCAATTCGAGGTGCAATTTCACCAAAGTTTCCTTTGGAAAGTGATTTTGTTCGGATCACAACACATGATCTTCTTGATCCCATAAAGAGCGATCAAGATAGTAAGCACTGATGTGTGACTGTGTATACTACTAATTGATTATTATGAGTAGTTGGGTAACACTAGCCTCAACCAGTGACGTTTAAAATCCAAGTAGATCGAAATTATTTAAACACCGACTATCCGTTTCGTTCGTTTTGGGAACCAAACTCAGTAGGAGTTCACCCAGATGGACTGACCTCAGAGAATGGAATCAGTTAAAACCATCTGAATTCAGGCTAACTACCTTGTTGGAATGGTAATACATCAAAGAAAATTCTAAAGTTCCATATTAGTTCGCTATCTGCAGACTACACAGTTCGAGGTGAAACCTTACGACAGTGATGAGCTAGGCTTCAAGTGAGCAAAACAAACGTTTCGAGTTCAAATCACTTTTGTTCGGTTACTAAGCTCTACCGGTTTCTATGTCAGTGGTTCCAACTACTCATATCGAAGAATTAGTAGTAGGTATGAACTCAGGAAATTCAGGATCAATAAACAAGAAGCGCACTAACAACCAGACAGGCTGACATGAAGTCTTAAGAGGAAATATGCATTCTCCACTGTTACGTAGTGAAGAAAGGATATAAAGTATGATTTATACAAGATTGATGTGAATAGTTCGAAAAACCATATGAATTTAATCCCGTCAACTTGAAGAGGCTTATTTCAATATAACTCTCCAACCAGTCATTTATAACATCTCCCGTCATATATTACCTTCTTAGGAGGTTCATATTAACAATGAAATGCAATTGTTTGACCCGCCTTGGATTTGTCCTAACTCTAACTCTATTTCAGCATTTTGAATTGAATGAAAGAGAAGCTTTTGCATCCAGCCCACTCTGTCGACACTGATAACGTCAATGAAGGTTCAAAAATGTCTTTCCTGATAAATAAACTTAATCTCTGTGCTTTCACTGGTAGAAATGAAATAACCGATGTTATGTGTTGACGCGAGAATTCTATCATTCTAATTCAATCCTCAAAGGTGGTATCCATTCCTTCGATTAGTTCCACCAAACTCGAAACCTAGATTTTGGACTTTCTACTGGCTGCCTCCAGCTGTCTAACATTCAGCCTTTTTCTATGCCCATTAATGACGATGATAGGACTGTGAGTCACTGGCTCAAGGGTACAATACTGGCCAATGAGTCATCTGGGCTGGGTTCGACTTCCAGCAGACAAACGTCTACACCGTGCCAAGCCGGTTGTAAGCTCGGTGAAGAGGGAAGGTTTGTTGTCGGGCCAGCAATCTCATCCAGTTAAAATGACACCACCACTATTGAAACTTCCCAGCTCAAGCTTGAAGTTCTATGCTCCACCAAGAAACAAAAAGATGATAGCCAAAATAATTACCAACTACATAATTTACAGTTTAAGAAGATACCAAAAGGGTTATCAATGAAAAACTAAAGTTAAAATAAAATTTACTTGTCAAATTCAAATTGGAACTATTAATCAATCGGCCAAATAATGAGTTGGTATTTGATAGGTCACCAGTATTATTATCAATTACTTGTCGTGTAGATTTGTGCCTACTGATAATTTCATCAATATCAAATAATGTTTTTGCAACTGGCACTTTTTTCAAAAGTTTTACCCTGTAAATAAAGTAAGTATTAACAGAGAAAATGATTGAAAATCGTTTCGATTTAAAGCACAGAAGCACAGAATTTTAGTAAATGATGTACAAGAGTTAGTGTCCTTTCACATTAGGCATAAATTGTGTTCGATATCCTTAAGAGAAGAATTTTATCATCTCTGAAAAGGTCATTCTTCACGGGAACTCTGAGAGCAGTGTTCTCCAGTCTTCTATTGGCCTACAGAAGCATTGTGGACAAGATCTCGCATATATGAGTTCACCTGTTGCTGAGGAGCCAGGTAATACATTAGTCGTTCCATGTGTAAACTGTCTAAAATTGTTCAAGAGCACTGTCCCGAATGGTCACAGAAAGGCAGTATCGGCTTCATAAAGAGTAAGATAATAGAACACCTTGTCAACACTGGTCATTACATTTCAACAAACTCCTCCTCCAAAGTAATCTTCAAAGTGAAGAACAATCTGCCAAAGGCAATATATGTTTGTCCCTATTTTAATGCTGAAGCTCTAACCATTCAAACAGAGAAACCAGAGCTATGAATACAACAAATGAAAAGCATTCAACCACTTCTACTATCATGGTAGCAAACATGTTGATTTCTACAGACTTGATGTTTTTATGCTTGTTTCTTTTTCTAACTCCTTATAACTTTTTTATTTCTCTTGAACCCTTACATAATACCATATTTTCCATCGTTTCTATGTGCATGCTGATTACAACTCATTCATGTAATTACTCATCCTTATTACGCAACTCTAATACATTTATTCAACTCCTTTGATGCATTAACTAATACTAACAACTATGTTTGTGACAAATCATCATCACTTTTGATACTCCCCTCTTTCATGGAAAAACTGTCTATAAGTGAGATTGTATGGCTAAACGGGAAAATAAATTGGCCGAAAAGAGCCCGTTTGCTGAACTACGCGTTTTCTTTTTCTTTTCTTTTCTTTTGATTTACAGCTTGATTCCACACTGTATTTTTGGTACAAGCATGGAATTTTCAGCATGGATATCGGTAGCCCAAATTTCGCAGGCCGACCATAGATATCAGGTATGCGCCGGCGTGGGCTCGAACCCCGGACCATGTGCATGGTCGGCGAGAGTCCTAACCACTGTGTCACCGACGCAACCATCTTGTATACTTTATGAGTCGGTTTAGAGTTAAGCCACAAGTTGGTTTCATTGTGGTTATTTATCCACTTGAAGCGTGAACCAATATCACTGAAGAACTATGTCAAAAACTGTTGTAACTCAGTTCGAAAGTATTCACTAGTGTTCATTCCTCTCCCATCAAACGATTCATTGCAGAACTGAGCCTTTGAAGTTGATGTTTGCATTAAATGCAAGTTTGTCACTCGGGCTATTGGATAAGGTAGTGGCTTCTTCACACATTCTGCTTTGTCGTAACTACAGTCACTTTAACACTGTGGATGTTTTCCCTTAAAAAATAACTTTTGCACTAGTTCCACATTTTGGTACTTGGAAATGACATTTTTTTTCAATGAATTAGGCAGGAAATTAGTCTGTTTATTTATTTACAAGGATAGAATTAATGAACTGCGTCAGGTAGAAAATAGATAAAGTGTTGACTTGCAGGGATATGATTGGTTACAGGTTTGACCATGAGCTGATCTCAGTTAGATAACCATTGGAAGTTTTGTTTTCATGAAGTCTCATAGTGTTATACAATAATGTTTAGTGATGGCGTTTCGAGGACAATTTATTGCTCATAATCAAATCAAGGTACTCACACGACTTCCCAACTTCAGTTATATAGTTCCATTATTTTCCATCACTTGATTTGATCGGTAGTAATATTTTCCATATTTCGGGTATGAGAGTGATGAATCATTCCAATTGCTTGTGTTTGGTGTAGAATCGATGAACAAGGATTCAGTAATCAACCTCTCTCTCCACCTATCTAGATTACTTTTTAGAATTTAACCCCTCTCTCACGCTATTGTGTGCTTGTGTATTAATGCGTGAAGTGCAGTTGCTGAGCTTTTTTCTAAACTATTTATCTTTTCAGGGTCAACCATTCTTACCTTAGCTAAATTCTTGTGTTCTGGCAATCTGACTACCCCTGACCGACTAGTTTGACTTATGTAGTTGACCTAACTCACAGTCATTGCAGGGTATTTTATAAACTATATTATTTTGTCTAATTGAGTCAACAGGGTCCTTTAACCTACAGAGCTTGTCCCTGAGTGAGTTTGTAGGTTTAAATGCCATCCTGATTCCTGCTTTATTTAGAATCCTACGTCGGGTCTCAGATGTCCCTTCTTCATCGGTAAACATTACTGTATAACACTGTGAGACTTTATCAAAACAAAATTTACCCATAATGGAATTACACTCTACCACAGTATACAAGTTTTATTCTTATATCAATAATTGGAAGAGTAGGGAGTACTGGAATAGAAGCTGTTTGCTGCTAATTTGCTAATTTCACTAATGAAAGCAACCCAGGACTCTGCTATAGTATAGCGAGCTTAGAGACCATTAAACCATTAAGACTCGACCAAATGGCCCATGTATTGCAAGTTCCAATGGTTCTTCCACTGATGTCACGTAATGGTCGAATCAGAAATCGGCTGAATTCAAACTGAAGGTCTGTGAATTCATCATTCTGTTATTAGTACTGAAAATAATCAATATATGAATAATCTGTTATCTTTATAATATGGAATAAACTTACCAGAATTTAGGCAGCAGTTGTTGTATTCGAAAGAGTTGATTCTCTGTATTATTTAAAGCAATATCCTCTAAAATAGTGTCAATCTGTTTATCAGTTAACGGGCACTTTGTTTCAAATAAAAAATTCCAAATAATTCGCCACACTGTACGTCTCATTAATTGTCTGAAAGAAACAAATATACATATTTCCAGAATAGGTGAAGATATTTTCCTCTACAAGTAATTGTGAATAAATTATTTTGAGAAATGACAGTGTTGAGCCTTTTCTGCCCATCACATACGGTTTATCATTATTCCATTTCGTTTTTGTGCACGTTTAAGGTACTAACGGATTTACAGAGTCGGTGTTTCTGAGGTTTTATCCATAACTATGATGGATAAGAATTTATTTTGATAAATAACACAGTGTTATACAGTAATATTAACTGATGACGTTTCGAGAACAATTTATTGTTCATAATCATATCATAACTGTCTTTTAAGACGCGTACTATTAGCCAAGGTGCAGTGAAGGTGAATGAGGTATTCAGTGAAGAGTTACTCTTTTCTGTGATATCCTTCTCAAGCTGTGCAATCGCATATCTATATAGCAAATTTTCTTGACAACAAAAGGAATTTTCCCAAAGATGTATCTTTAGAATTACAAATTTTAGATAGCAGTTACATAATACAGAAAGCGTTAACCAACAGGTTGGATACTGATAAAAACTGAGTAGTGTAATATAATTGACGGGATTGAGTAGAACTTAACTTAAATTACAGGAGACTCTGTTTAAAAACGTAATAGTAAGGAGTAGAAATGCAATACGGTGTGGTGAAGGGCGGAGAAAAAAGTAATTAATAACAAAATAATTGTACATCCAGAGTTAAGACAGTTCTGGTCCACTGTAAATTCAATGAATGGAAAAACTTCTGTGTGTAGAGTCCGGGAATTGTCATTGATTCTGCAGCTTGAAGTTTGATTCGTACTCTCGCATATTCTGTGAATTGTTTTGAAGTTGGTTTATGGATTAGCTTGGTGTCCAGATTCTATAAGGTGTTCCAGGATAGCTCTTTGAAGGGATCTTTCCTCATCTTTGCGAAAACATGAGCGTAGGTGTTCGATGATACGTTTGGATGTCAAATGCTGGGTACGACAGACATACCCAGCTCCACAGAAGCAAGTGAATTGATAGATGCACACTGATGAAGTAAACACCGGTAGCTTAACCTTCACGTTCATGAGAATCTTTGGTTTTGTGGAGAAAGTTAGTCAAAGTTCAGCTGTAAAAGAGATTTCCTTGAATGAACTGCACGGTTTGTTTCTCAGAATTTCTGTTGATAGATCTCCGTTGAATTGTAGATTCAAATTGAGAAGTCTTTTAGGGATGGAAAGTGTGGGTGGCTTTGGTGGTTTAGGCTTCATGAGTTTTAGGAAGAAGCGTTCGGGTTATTTATTTCCAATGATAATCCCTTTCAGGGTGTTTAGCTCCCCCTCCATGGTGTTAAGGCTGCAAATAATTCAGATTCTCCAGTGTATTATTTTCATAATTCTCTTTATATTCTTATCAGAACTGTAATTTCATTTTTTATTTTTTTTTCGCTATGCCACGGTGTTGAGTGATGCAACCTGAACTTTTACATACCTATTACAGAAGATTTCGGTAATTTCCAAATTCCCGCTATGCATTTAAAAAAAAGCAGCAGATCAAACGAAGAAATATATTCCTTTTCAATCAGTTCCTCATCATCAACTATACACTTATATATAGTTTTTACATCAAAATGGGTTACCAACCAAGTGGTTATTTCAGTTAATCACTTTCAGGTGTAGGCCGGGTGAAATCAAGAGGTTAATGGTCATCTAAACAATTAAATAATGGTTATTAGTAAAAAGATATCCAAGTTATTTAAAAGAGGGGTGAAAATTAATTACGGAATTCAGGATAAGCTGATTCTTAGGTGTTAGCAGCAAGTTTTTACATAGTCAAGAAAATTTGATGACTAAGAAGAATAGGATGACTCAGACTCAGTCGGCTAGTGAATACATAGCATAGCTTAGCTGCGTTGAAAGTCCTTTTCAAGGCCCTTCTCAGACGTTGTGATAACATCTCACTATTGACATTACGCTTGAATCGTAATCTTAAGAAGACTGATTTTTGAACACAGTCGGTAACTTCGAATTTTACTTTCGGAGTTCGTGTGTTTTTTATGAATTGAGTTGGATATCCGTTTCTACTTAGCAGACTGAGAATATTACGGAGTTCATCTTTCACTGTCTCGTTTGAACAAATAACTCTAGTTCGTTCAACCAGACATCTAACTAAATTGCATCTTTATTGTAGAGGTACGAAGCTCAGGAAGTGAGTATATTGTCCAGTGGAAGTAGGTTTTCTATATAGATGTCTACATATTGTCCCGTCTGTTCGTTTAGTCATCAGGACGTCGAAGAAGGGGATAGGGCAATTTTCTTCTTTTTCCTTAGTGAAGCTTATGCTGGGATGTGCTCTATTGAATTTATCCATTATGTGCTTAGCCTCACTTCTTTCTTAACAAATATAAATGTATCATCTACATATCGGCAGTAGAAATCAAGATTATATATACATATATATCTTCAAGTGCACCATTCTCTAGTTTCGCCAGGAAAAAATCTTCTAGGATTGGACCTAGTGGTAATCCCATGGCAACACCATCTGATCGTCTACACACTTCTATCTTGAACGGGGAATTCACGTTCATTTTACACCTTTTTTTAGCTTTTAAAATTCTTACAATTCCAGCTAATTCTGTTAACTTGTTTGCATTTTATGTCACTTTTCTGAGTCATCCTATTCTTCTTAGTCATCATTGCTAATTTACAAATTTCCTGATTATGTAATAACTTGTTGCCAATAAGTTATCTTGAATTCCGTAATTAATTTTCCCCCTTCTTTTAAAACTTAGATATCTTGTTACTAATATCTGTTAGTTAATCCTTTTTATGACCTTTAATCCCTTAATTTCACCCCAACCTATACCTAAAACTGATTGACTGAAGTAACCACTTGATTGGTGAAAAATTTTGATGAAGAACTAATTGAAGAGGGAATATATTTCTCCGATCAATCTGTTGTGTATTCCAGGAAACTTTCTCCCTCTTTTTCAATACAATATAGACTTGAACTTTCCATTTCGATTTCTTTAATACATTTATATAATATTAAGATTATGGTTGTTTGTAGGGATTTGGATCAGTTTACACGTGGATATCGTCACAAACCAGTATCAGTAAGAGATCACTGGAAGCACTGTGGTAGAGTATAACTTCATTGCGGATAAGATTTTATTTTGATAAATCACATAGTGTTGTACAGTAATATTAACTGATAACGTTTTGAGCTCAAACTATTAATATGATTATGAGCAATAGTTTGTGCTCGAAACGTCGTCAGTTAATATTACTGTACAACACTATGTGATTTATCAAAATAAAATCTTATCCATAATGGAGTTATCACTGGAAGCCTAGTATCACTAGAGATATGTTTCCTATTGGTTTGAGACTGTTCAGCAGTGCGAACTCACGACCCCAGCTGGAACTGAACCTGAAACCTTCGGTTTAAGAGACCAAAATCGTTGAAAATCCAGCCACTTGAGTAGGAATTTAGTGACCTATAAATTACAATTTCGTCAATTCTTGATATAATGCTGGCGTCCATCAATGCCTACAACCAGTATCCGCTTTACCCTAACATGGTGGACCCCACTGGCTACAATTTCTCAGAACAACTGTAGGACACTCATCCAGTAGTCATCAGTGAGCCAAATCAAGTGGCTGTATGCTCAACCACCTTCGTGTTGCATCCTGCAGCTTTCATGTTCGAGACCTGGTGGATACCTGATGATGAAGAGTCCAAAACCAATGCGAAATGGTTGTTCAGTGCTCTCTGGTTTTTCAGTGATCTCTGTAACTGATATTCGTTCGTGAAGAAATCTACACTAAAACATTGATGTGAAGCGAAATTCGCTTTTGAATCTAAATTTATTGTATGTTAGGATTTTCAGTTTGTCTTTTGTTACCATCTCTTATCTTTATTTTATGCTTCTTATCATATGTAAATATTTCTGTCTCCATTTACGAATGATGAGAAGTAAGAAGGAAAATAGACTTTAGCTGATGATTGACGACAGACTTTTGAGTTGTTCATCCGGGCAATATTGAACTCTATAGACCGTCTACTGAAAGTTTTGTAACTTCCTCTCTCAAGCAATTGAGACTTTGAAAAGGCATTCCAAATAAGTGAAATAAGAAAATGACTAATCAGTATAGTTGTGTAACGTGGATGAGAACGAGTGGAAAGACGACAAAGTGTTTTTATAAAGTCTGCATGAAAACGCAATGTTATTAATAAACAGTAATAGAGGATAATAAAATAAGTATAATGAGAATAATAATAATAATAGTAAACTTAAATAATAAAAGGAAACCAGACATCTGCATTGAAAGCATCACATACATTCCTTCGCTCCACCATGGCCAGAGTAATGTGCCCACTATAAATTTCCTTCCTTCTCTTATGTATTTTTATTATTTTACATTATGCATTTGCGTTCCTATTGCATCAAAGGGTTTCAAGCTAGAGCTTTGAAGTTTCGGTATCAATGGTGGGATTGCTAGTCTCACGCGCAACCGTCCTTCTTTGGCAGGCTTATTACCAGCTGAGCGAGGTTTGGGTAGTGAACCCTGGACAACCTGAGTGGCTGGCCAGCATTCTGCCACTGCTCCACTTTAGTGCTGTTTATTAATACTATTGTGTTTTCATACAGATTTTATAGACACACTTTATCGTCCGTCTTACCACTCGTTCCTGTCCACTCTACACAAACATAGTAATTAGTCATTTTCTCACACTTATTACATAATCCCAAGTTTTGCTCCCCTTTACTAATTTCCAATTAGTCACCCACTCTAGACTACACCTTAAGTTAAGTAATACATTTCCGAGGACAAATCTTACCAGTATTTGATTGAATTTATGAATTCTTTATTAAATACAACTGCGACTGTACAGCCGATGAAAATGAATCGTCAAAAAGACAATTTTCATTGCTGTTCACGTCTTTCTCTTATGACTCAATATGGGAATATTCCGTACTTTTATTTCAGACAAAATTGTTTAGCTACTTTTATGCAAATTAAAGTAGTAAGAGTAAATCATGAAAGTTTTAGGGTGAAATGAAGTCAACTGAAGTAGGCGTAGTATGATGGTAAAATTAAGAACATAAAATCAATGAGTTGTGTCTACCTGTGCTTATTTCACTTGCAGAAATCAGATTAATTCTTTTCAGATAAACTGCGAAAGTTGCAAATTCTACTGGTATTTCTTTACTCATTATGAAGTTATGAAATTCAATGAAATACTCAGCGCTTCACAAGTAAACCAATCTCAGACTTTATTCACACAGACACTACTAGCATATATACATATATGTTTTTCTTAAAGAGTTCACTTCGGTCATTTGTCTGGTTTCGCAGATTCCTTTCTCAAGCCATAGCCGAGGCTACTTATTCTCATTTTCTCATTAAAATTAATGAGTTCATCATCGCACAAAATGAATTCAAAAACGAGTGAAATATTGTCTGATAAGATATAGAGGTAAAAATCAATAATACTTGGTGGTGTTTGTCTAAGTCTACTGCATATGAGAGTATGAGTACTGAGTATGAATTTCAGTGGGAACAGCATCACTCACTGGGAGTGCAGGTACATCCAGATGGTGAATCCTAAATATGACGAACTGCGCATTCTGGATTCCACTGCTAGTCATCATCTACGAAATAGCATTATACCTAGTATTATTCCAAAGCTGTTTAACAGTATTAATTTAGTTTGTCTCCTTTATTACCTTTCACAAACATATTTTCACAGATAATGCTTTTAGAAGCGTAGCTAATAAGAGAACTGTGTTAGGCATGCAACTTTTTTCAGGTTTTCACACTTATCTTGCTCATAAGTATATGAAAACACGAATTCAAAGTCATTTGATATTTTTCTTTGACAAACCCATGCTACATAAAGTTCATTTTTCTGGAATTATTCAAACAAGTATAAGAAGTATAAGACAAGAAAGCGCAAACTTATCCTAATTGTCTATCAAGTGTTAGTTTACAGGGATCTAATTGGCTACAGGTTTGACAGTAAGCTGATATCAGTTAGAGAACCATTGGAAAACCAACATTTGAAAATTAGTCTGATAGCCACTACCGAATGGCTTCAGAGAGGAGGTTACCCGGAAATCTAGTGAGAATTTGTAACCAGGAGGGGGTGACGAAGGAATTTAAGTCAGGCAAGAGAACAGCCACTTGTCTACGAGATTCGCTGCCAGTTGCACTGATATAAGAATGCGACTTGATCACTGTGGTAGAGTATAGTTCCACTACGTACAAAATTTATTTCATAAAGTCTCACAGAGTTATAAACTAATATCTGCTGATGATGTCCCTAGCACAATTTACTGCTCATAATCATGTCAAGGTACTCACACAACTATACAAATTGTTAGTTCCAGAAGTTGGAATTCATGGGTTCCACTGGTTAAGTGGCCTACGAGCTCGCCTCACAACCGGGAGTTCCTGGGTCTGCACAGTGATAAGGGCATGCCGTTGAGGAGTCATACCTCAGGACCAATCAGATATCCACTATCCTAATTTGACACTCTTTAGCCATGTCATATAAGCAAGCAAATCCTCTTGGCTTTAAGTTAACGAAAATAAGTTACTATTTCTTTTCAAATTCAGTTTTACGAATAGCAGCGTAATTTCACTGCTATATTAAAAATTGATTATTTAGAAATGATGTCACCGAAGAATAATTAAAATGGATATTTAACATCCCCCGTTTGATGACAGTCATTCAAATGATAACTATTCATATTTTTATGATTTTAAAGGGTAGTAAAATCCATAATATTAGCACATGATAAACAATTTGACTGTCACATCCTAAATATTGACCAAATTATACCTTTTAATTCATGAATAATCCCCATCCAGATGTTAGTGAAGACAATACACGTATTTTGGCGACGAATTCAGTCACTTAGCTGTATAATCGCTTATATATATACATATATATGTGCCTGTACATTAAGTTGTCGTATAAGAATAAAAACAAGTTATGGTTACTGTTATGAAGACACGTTCAAAAACGTAATGGGTAATCAAAATCTGCAATCCTGACACCATGGAAGCAGAAATGAATTAGCTGAAAGAAAGCTTAATCCCAAATGGGTACCCAACAAGATTCGTCGACAAGAAGATTAAACCAAAGGTGCAGAGGAACGAAACATCACTTGTTTCAAAGAGGATACTTTACATGAATCTGGATTTTAAGGGAGACTTGACTTGCTACAAACCCAAGAGGAGAATATCAGAATCTTTGAAAAGAACATTCTTCACAGGAACGCTAAGAGTAGTGTTCTCCAGTGGCCTATTGATCTGCAGAAGCCTTAATTGAAAGATCTCCATCTGGCCACTTCTGTGTACATATATCAGTTCACTTGTTGCTTTGGTGCTAGGCATATCCTGTCCACAAGCGTTCAAGAACACTTTACAGCATTGCCACAAAAAGGTTATAATGGCTGTATATGGAGTGCAATGATTGAGCATCTCAACAACACTGCTCATTACACCTCAACAAACGCTTCCTTTAAAGTGATCTACAAAGTGAACAACAACCTACCAAAGACAATACGCTTTCGTCTCCATTTTATTGCTGAAGCCTTAGACATTCATTTAGAGGGATCAGAGTAATGTATACAAAAGAGAATCATCCAACCAATTCTTCTATCATGGTGACAACCTTGTTGACTTCCACTGACTTGATTCTTGTATGCTTGTTTTTCTTCTAACCCCTTATAACATTTGTATTTCTCTAGAACTCTTACATAATCCATATTTTCCTTTGTTTCTATGTGCATCCTAATCACAACTCACTTATTAAACTATCCATCTTATTACGTAACTGTATTACGCTTAATCAACTTCTTTTATGTGTTAATAAATATGTTTTTTTAACAACACATCACCACTACCCTCTCACCAATCTTCACTTCCGCCACCCTAGTTACAGTTTGATTACTCATCACATTTTGAAACATCTTGACAACAATAACTCTAACTTATTTTTATTCTTATCAGACAAACCTAATTTACACACACATGCAAAAATAAGTATATATATATATATAATTGCGATTGTACAGCTGGGTGAATAAATTCACCGCCAAAATAAGACTCTTAGGTGAACCACGCGTTTTGTTTTCAGATCATATCTATCACACGATCATTAAGCTGAGTGATCTCAAGTTTAAGTGTACTAAGTTTAAAGTTATTGTCATGTTGTTTTCATCAACAGGCAACTTCTTAACATTCCTGTTACCTTACAAGCAATTAAAACCACTTTGAACTTCGCATACACTCTTTAGTTAGTCAAAAAGCTGAAATCATATTAATTAACAAAGTTAATTTTTCAAACAAATATCACATAAAATCTTATTGAATCACTTACAAAACGTCAACTGGTTTTCCTTGTTTTATTCTCAGCTGTTTGAGTAATCTATCGACTTCAGAGTTAATATAACTTTGTGGTAGAACTAGGTGGGACTTATCACCGTTTTCACCATCAGATGGCTTTGAAGCATCATGCAGATGGCGTAGAAATGCTCTTCTTATATCCATTGCTCTTTGTGTGTCATAATTTGATATACCTATGTATAAAAACAAAAAAAGAGAACAATAAAAGAATCAAGGTTCATCTGAAAAGAAGTGAGCTCATTTAGTAGCCAGTCGGCTGATAATCTGTAGGCACCTGTAGTCCAGATTTTCATCTCACATTCATTTATTACGGAACCCATGATCACTCCAAATTTACTTCATTGAATCATTATTAAGAGATGCTTACTGAACGGATTCATTCTGCACAACGGAGTTAGCCTTTTCACTGAGGTGGTTATAGATATCAAATGACTATATATAGGTGTATCTAATAAATCCATGGGAAACTTCATCTTACTAGGTTTTGATTTAATTGTTCTTGTGGAGGCGGTTACATAGGTAGAACGACTACGGAAGCCCACCGTTTCTTTCTTGAGAATTTTCTAACGTGGTTAAGTAAAGAAGACGTAAATTCAATCAAGAGTTCATTATTGCCACACCTTGCGGATATGAAGCATAAGATAGGTAGAACAATGAAGCCTTTAAAATGATATACAAGGTGCCACCATGACTCCCTAATTCTGTACACCTTCACTTGTTAAGCATATCTTAGGCAGTTGCCGTAAAAAACAATTGTCAACCTATTTTCTGTGTTCAGATAAAGTTTCTTCAATCCCTTTTCCTCCCATGGCCTTCAAACTTAACCTACAGTAGTTGTCTCTCCCGAGGACATCAGATTACTGTACATATTCGCTTTATTTTTATTTGTACTGCTAACTCTATTACTAATATCATGCTCTGTTACAGTTGCACATCTTAATCTTAGTTTTACAACCTGCTATTATTGTTCTAATCACATTACACGTGATTATATTTGATTTTATTAAGTCATTGTAGCTGACTCTATTTATTCGCATTGTTTCAAATATCTATGGTGTTTTACCACGTAATTCTGAAACCTGATCAGAATTCACCGAAAATACGTATTTGCTTGCCTAAATAGTTTTCTAAAATAGCCGAGTTGGTTGTTATTATCATTATTCTTGTTCTCTTGAGTTCCGCGCGGAGCATAAGGCTTCAAAAACACATCTCTACCTTATCCTATCTTCTGCCATCCTCTTCACCCGCGTCCACGACTGCCCAGAACCTCTTATCTGTCCCTCCTGCCCAAACAATCTCCTCAATGTTACCACCGCCCCCCATGAAACACTCGTAACTTCCTATTCGCCTTCCACTCGGGTGATGGACTTCATTGCGCGTGATGTCATTCGACGGCATCCTCAATATGTGCCCAATCCACCTCCATTTTCCTCTACATATTTCTTGACCAGTCAGCTCTCGCCTGTTGGTTTTTTCCCAGCCACAGTTCCTTGTAGTTAGTTCATTCTGGTTGGCCGACTGGCTATTTGGTCTTCATTATGGAGTCAGCCAGAGAAGGCAGGCAGCTGTCGGTGAAAGTCTGAAGTGGCCTGTTTGAAATCCTTTTCGTCACACACACACACACACACAGTGCAAGTTTCTCACTAGTATAGAAGAACTGGTTGACTGAATTCACATTTGTGTTGAGTAGAATCCGAATGTTGTTCTTTTTGCTGGCTGAGTGAACTATTGCTCAGTCAGTTAATCTCTTATCTGCCTACCTTTTTAGTCAACAGATTCAGCAGTCATTCCCTAGAATTAGTTTCCTTATCTATTTACGATGACGGCCTTTTTCTACATGATTAAGTGAGCTGACAAAATATACATCCTAACCTTCCTTCACACTATTTTTATAATTAAATTCTATGAAATTAATAAATAAGTACAACTGACCTGCATTCTCTGCTAATATATCATTTACAGTCATGGTATATCGTCCAATTTTTGATCGATTTGTAACTGCTGCTTCATGTATCATATCATAACTGTTCAATATTATAATTGTTTTTCCCATCAGACGAAACGACAAAATATCACCATAGATTTGATTTAAATATTGAATTTTACGAAATGCATCATGTCCTTTAAATAATAAGTATATTAAAACAAAACAATAAACAGGTTAATCAGTATTATCTGTTGGATGGTATTTAGTGTAGCGGAGTGTAGGACGCAAGTTTAGTTTTATTTGAGACTCGTCAGATGACTCACCTACAACTAATATGATAGATAAGTGGAATGAATATTGAACAAAGAGAAGTTGTGAAATGTCATTAGGATTTTATTCTCCCGGTACAGGCAGTAAATCCTCAAGAGAGAGAGAGAGAGTGGGATGGAAATTTTCCACTTTGGATATTGAAGCAAGCCATAGTTTCTTTTATTTTCAAAATTTTTGGGTTACCTTAAGGGTTTAACTTTGATTATGATCTGAGAACTGTTGGGTAAGATGAGTAAAGATTTGAGAAATGTATATGTATATATATTATATATGTCAGATGGTAGGCGTCAGTCGGCAGGTAGCCCTGTCTGGACCTATGTTGCGTGCTTGCTGGCACTCGTCAGCAAGGTGTATCTACAGTTTTTTAAGGAATTGTTGTCCTTTCCCTCAGATTTGAATGTGCATCACCTAATAATGCAGATAGAGGCTTTACCACTTAGGTATTTTGGCTTATAATTTACCGCCTGTAGGACTGTAATGGATACATCGATTGGTTGCTAGAGTGTATCAAATTTCATGAATTTGGGTCTTCATTTTGGTATAGACTGAATTCTATTAGTCTAGTTTACAATGTGGTCACCAAACCAGGTGACTTACCAACGCAAAGTACTCAGTTAGAAAATTTAGGTACTTAAGTTTGTATAGTATACCTTTGATACCTTGATTTCACTAGCCTATGGTAAGTTAAATGACATAAAGCAGCATTCCGATGAAATGGTTTAATGATTACTTATATATGTCTTACTATGGCTTTCACCTGTTGTACTTTTCGGCCCCACCTTAAATTTGTGAGTGAAGACGTAAACCTTGCTAAAGAAAGATTTGTTGGCCATTTTGTCTCCCTATATAGCCAAAGTTATGCACGCCTTGTCTTCAGTGCACCATTTGTGCACGGATCTTCCGTGTTGTGCTACTTCTGGCCTCCCTGCATATTGTGTTTCATTATGTTCCTTTTACGTCTCCCATGTATCTCCACAACGCTGTATCACTGATATATCTTATCAGTATCACACGCCACTTACATTATAGCGAATAAACTGGCCACATTCTTGTCTCAATATGCACGAATAGGTAGAACGGAGGCGACAAATTACTGTTTAAATTCTCTCAGTTAGTTTGTCTCATGTGATTTTGTAATACTTGCTTACAGGAATGCTGTATTCATAAGACAGATGTTACTTTTGTCATTTTAAGGATGTTTTGACGACTTTGGTTTTACATAGCTAGAATATCTGTTGTGGGGGTGTTTGTTACACTACAATAGAAAATATCTTGGGATAGCCTTTATACTCAGACTAAATCTGAAGTTGCGTAACTTTAGTCTATACTCTGAAGAAAGCAAAGTGTCACGTTTAAACAACACACACACACATTAATTGTTTTGCCATTGAATACCTTTAAAATTGAAATTTTGTTTATTTCAACTTCTGTCTATTAACCTGTATTTATTATGACTTTAATACTAATTATTATTATTATTAGTGGTCATCTGATTCTATTCTAAAAGTTGTCAGAATGAAATACTAGCAGTAAAAAAAATGAAGATAACAAAATATGAAGTGATTGTCATTGCACATGAGTGAATGAGAATAAAATATTCCATGTTATTTAAACAACATTAATGTTGTTCACAACACTAATAAAATATTTGTTGAAATAAATCATCTAACTATTCCATCGACCTTGAAAATATCCATCCCTGTTTAAATTTGAAAACTCTACAAAACATTAGTGAAATAAGTCTATTTCTAATATCTACTGACATGTGATCTACAGTGTAGGATATCAAGTGATTTCCGTTGAAAAGATCAGATGATGTATAAAGGCGTGATTGTTAATCTCAGTAGTGTATGAGTTCTTCACCCACACAAAAAGTCCTTTTCATCAACTGACGCTTTTGATATCATGACAGTTTAAAGTAGGCCATCAAGATGTATATGTTTAGCCAGTGTCAAAATACCATGACTGAGGAAAAAATGTCTACTGAAGGTTAGATTTGAAGTTTATCTGAACTAAACATTATGGACCTTAACAAATAAACTAATATGGAATTACTACCACAGTGTTCAAGTTTTACACGTATATTAATGAGAATGATTTCGATGGAAAGATCTTAGAGCCAACCACTAATCTTCAAAATTCACAGTCTTACTCTAATAGAACAAGTTATTGACGAAACTCGTAAATAGGTAGTCTTCGGTAATTAGCTGCTAAAATTTAAAATTTTCATCTCCCTTATTGATGTGAACTGTATAACTACATAAAATCCATACATTTGGTTCCCTTGATAAATTTCGATAGAGAAAGGAAGACGAAATTTGCAGTATAAAATGATATCATTCTATTTCACAGGTTCTCATCAGCTGCAGACTACCTGAAATTACAATGGTTATATAGATGACAATAACATACTTCAATGTTTGAGTGGTGGTAGAGAAGAGATACTATGAAATTGACGCATCTAAATGAAAGCATTACAATTTTTTTAGTTTAAGTTTTCATCGTCAATTTATACGCTTTTAAAGTTGAAAAGAGGGGGAGGGGTAAGACAGAAAACAGAAAACTTGATTAACAGAACAGTGTTAGCTTGTAGGTTCACATAGCAACTCAAGAAACAAAAGCGGTTACAGTTTATAAGATTAAGATTTATTCAGTGAGATGAGATCACTGAATTAGATGACTAATCAAATTCAAAATTCAGTTACCAAGGGAGTGAGAGGTTAATCACACTCTCTTTCTGTATGCATAAGTCTGGCTTAAGTCGTTTGATTGCGATTGCTTCGGCAAATCGTAGTAAATTCGCTGTCCTTTGTCTATTTAATATTTTGGAGGATTTAGAAATCTCTACGAGATGTCCGGTATCAACAATATGTCTGATAACTGCACTCTGAGAATATTTGCTTCCTTTCAGGCACAGGTTTCTTGGAATATGTTCAGAAAACCGAATAGAAGCCCTTCTTTCTCCTTTTCCAACATGCTTGCTCCCGCAAGTGCACGTGAATTCATAAACGCAGTTGGAGGTGACATCAGCAGGGTATTTATCCAGTTTTGAGTGGATTAAAGAAGGAGTGGTGCTGTATACTGTTATGAGTTTTGCTGCTGGGAAGCTTCTATTTATTGCACCTTTCAATCTTTTGTGACACTGCATCTCCTTTGTATGGTAGACAGATAAACACTTTTTTCTTTTCTACAGTTGGATGCTTTTCTTTCTCATCTTTTTCTCTGCTGTACTTCTGTATAAATCTCTTAGGGTATCCATTTTCCCTCAGGCATTTCTCGACGAAAACTAATTCTTCTTCGACCCTGTTTGGTGAACATAGCTTCCTGGCTCTGTCGTACGAAGTCCTCACTAATCCACGTTTATAGCTTATGGGACAAAAGCTGTTATAGTGAAGATATTGTCCAGTCCAGGTTTCTTTTCTATAGATGGACTTTTCGACCATGCCTTCGTTTGTTCTTTTTACATTTAGATCCAGGAAATTGAACTCATTATTATGTTCATATTCCATGGTGAATTTGATATTTGGATGGATCTCATTTAGGCGATCATATAGTGCCGATGCGTGATCCATATCGTTGCAAACAACAAATGTGTCATCAACATATCGGCGATAGTAGTAATGCTTTCATTTAGATGCGTCAATTTCATAGTATCTCTTCTCTACCACCACTCAAACATTGAAGTATGTTATTGTCATCTATATAACCATTGTAATTTCAGGTAGTCTGCAGCTGATGAGAACCTGTGAAATACAATGATATCATTTTATACTGCGAATTTCGTCTTCCTTTCTTTATCGAAAATTACATAAAACGCTGTGAAGTTTTGCAGAGATACTACGAATTGTAATTGTCTTTCAAATGCTACATTTGTATTTATTAGAGGAGAGAAGTGCTTTAAGGCTTCTATATATTAGTACTGTCACAACTAATATCTTTACTTCAACCATAATATCACTAGTGCCATGCCAGCAAATCTCATCCTAGATAGTCTTATGATAAACTGATAACACCCTCTTTGATATTTAATTCATTAAGAATTAGGCTGACAAGAGAACATCCATAGATGAACATCATGCGTTATGGTAAACGGACAGTTACAAACCTTTCAGTCGCATGACAGCTCTGCATTAACTTTGATGATGACAGTTAAATGCTTTTGTGTTGATGACCTCATAGAAATATAAAGGGAATTTTTCAAGATTACGGAATTACAGAAAAATAAAAAATACTTTGATATAGTAACCTATAGATTTAAGTGAATACTGCAAAAATTCTCCCTCATCTATTGACCAAAATAAAGAACAAGGATGGAGTATTGACGAAGGTAGAAACCGAAATCTTCTGTCACAGAAAGATTTGATTCGCTGGTTGACAAATCTGTTAACCACTTTTCAACTTCACTGAGGATTAAGTATAACTGTCTTATGTTTGTTGGTGGGCAACCACTGGTTCATAATTATCACCACACTAGTTAGCTACTAAGGTACTATAATCCAAATCTCAGTTGGGCTTATTTGAGCTAATGGGGTCACTATCTGAATACTACTTAATCTTTCTGCTGTAGACTTCATTTAACTTAATAACTTATAGACTGCAAGAGAACCTAAGTTATTAAATATTCAGGTGAATGATAGCGGAGAGAAATAGCATTTAGGACGAGCTAATGTAGTTTGTCAGATACATAGACTTTAATAAAGATAGATAAGTGTAGATTAAACAAAGAATCCCTCCTTTTTGTTATCATACCTTGTAAAGGTTAAATATAAACAGCTGTGATCTACAGAAAATCGATAGTGAGAAAATACTTAGTTAAGTTGGATCACGAAATGACATCAGCTGAAGGACAATTGGAAACCAGGAAGTATTGGAGAGGCGTGTCATCCGAGTATGGGTCTCTTCAACAGTACACAACCTTAGATTGAACTCAGAACCTTCAGATTATGAGGTAAGCCAGTCGGCCACTCAATCACGGGGACAGATTCTAATGGCTCACGAATTCTAACTTCTGTCAACCTAAGATGTATAGTTCCAATACCAGCCAGTTTCATCAATGAGTATCTGTCCTTCCATCCGACTTAGTGGATCCTACTGGTCACAAATTCTCAGCACAACTCTAAGCAGTTTCATCCTGTAGCCAGTCACCAGTAACCATTAGAATAATTAATCGAATTAATCAATTTAATTTTAGTGTACCTTTTTAACAACAGTGTTCAGGCTGACACTGGAACACTTACCAATGTGTCTGAAGTATCAGAGTATCTTTTAGAAATACACTAGTGAAAGTTACTATTTGTGTAATCGCTTATGTTGTTGGGACTAAGTAACTTGAGGCAGATTTTCCATGTACAGGGTTGTTATTTAAATTGCCTGACTGCTGATGATGCCAACCAGTTATTCAGGCTGAAGCAGTCGGAGAAGGATTTAGTCTCAGGACCCGGTCGAGTGCTTAAGCCAATTAGTTATTTCTCTATATTGTGTATTGTTTTATACCTTTTATTTCGCCTAAAGCCAGCTAAAAACTGGTTTAAACCAGAATCAACAACTTAAGGTGTAGAGCATTTACCATAATTTGATTGGATAACCTTTGATACCCGACCATATACAACCAGTCAAATTAGTTGTCGGTAGTGTAGTCTTGTCTTCTGATTTTTCCATATGCTTAGTGTGTAACAACAGAAGACAAGGGCGAAGCAACAGATCGTTTTATTATGAAAATCAACACGTATTTATACATATTTCAACTACATTATTATAGACAAGCGCAGTCATCTGATTGGTTGTTTATCAGAAGTTAGGTAGACAAACGCAGGCTTCTGATTGGTTGTTTCGGGATTCCTTGACAAATAGAGTTCTCTATCTGCGAATCATATTTTGCCACGTTAACTTTGCTGTGATTGGTTGTTGACTCAGCCTTGTTCATATTTTCTCACGGCCCATATTAGTGACCTAGACCTTAACGTAGATTAGTGCCAACCAATCGGCTAGCAGCCTGCTCTCACCACACTCGTCCCCCCGTCAAATAGCTTCGTGCGCAGACGTTCCGACCTTCTGGGTGCTACATCCTCTAGTTGAGGATTGTTACTGACCGGCTTGTCCCACTGTACCCATCTTTGGAGCTGACTGGCGTTAACTCGTTTCTGTTTATCACCTCTTCGGATGGTATATACTTGACCCCGTCTTTTTGTGATTGTGTATGGTCCTTCCCACTTTGGAAGGAGTTTCCGTGAACCTAGCCCGCCTCCAACTGTATATCTCCTGTCTCTACACTTCACTTGGTCCCCGACTGCAAAGGTAATGCACTGCGTCCTTTCTTTCATCTGAGACTTCATGACATCACTGCGCTGCTTCCGTATTACATTCTTGACTGCCTCTTTCCTCTCTGCTTTTAATTTCGTCGTACTCCACTTTTGGTGCATGGGCCAGGTCTCATTGTGTACCGGTAATCGTGGTTTTCTACCATACATCAGTTGGAAGGGTGACTTCTTCGTTGTTTCCTGAGTGGTAGCCCGATGTGTTAGTAAAATCAGTGGAAGCTCCGTTTCCCAGTTCCCGCCCTTCGAGGCCAGCCACTCCTTCAGTGTACGGTTGTTTCTCTCCGTTAGGCCATTCGTTTGTGGATGGTATGGGGTCGTTCTGATCCTCTTGATGCCCAGCTGTTGCAAACGGGAAGTAAACTCTTCACTCTCGAAACAGGGACCTTGGTCTGTCAGTATTGTCTTCGGTACGCCGTGGTCTGCAACAATGTGTCTAACTACTGCATCTGTCACGGTTCTTGCACGTTGGTCTGGGATTGCTACGGCGTCTACCCATCGTGTCGCGTGTTCCGTCATCACCAAGAGGTACTGATTACCATTGGATGTCTGAGGAAATGGACCCATGACATCTACGGACCACAAGTCACCTATCGCGGTAACTGGAATCGACTGAAGTGGTGGTCGTATACACCGGTCACCTTTCATCAGCTGGCACCGTGGACATCCAAGTACGTATCTTGCTACGTCTTCTCTCATACCTGGCCAGTACATACTTTGTCTTAGGAGATCGGTCGTTCTGGCCACGCCTGTATGCGCTAGCTGGTGACATTCTTCTATCATGTCGTGGCGCGACGATTGAGGTATGACAGCCAGCCAGCTTCCGTCGTTCTCTCGCCAGGTCAGAGTCCCGTAGGCATTCACTCTGAGTCGATCCCTCTGTCTGAGTAGTGTGGTTAGCTCCTTCTTCAAACGCAGCTGGCCACGGGATCTTCATTTTCTGGAGGCAGCGACACCAAATGTAACAACAGAAGACAAGGGCGAAGCAACAGATCGTTTTATTATGAAAATCAACACGTATTTATACATATTTCAACTACATTATTATAGACAAGCGCAGTCGTCTGATTGGTTGTTTATCAGAAGTTAGGTAGACAAACGCAGGCTTCTGATTGGTTGTTTCGGGATTCCTTGACAAATAGAGTTCTCTATCTGCGAATCATATTTTGCCACGTTAACTTTGCTGTGATTGGTTGTTGACTCAGCCTTGTTCATATTTTCTCACGGCCCATATTAGTGACCTAGACCTTAACGTAGATTAGTGCCAACCAATCGGCTAGCAGCCTGCTCTCACCACAAGTGCAGCAGGAGATATTTGAGGGAGAGCAGTTGTATTCGGTCTTCAGTCAAGTTGTGTATTGTATTCACTGTCGAACCAAAATCTCAGCATTATTATCGACAGCTGTAATAAATTTGACGAAGGTCACCGGTTATGTCGTATATTTAGTGGGGATTCTGAGAATAACTAACTCACCGAAGATACTTTTATGTCTGTGATTTAATCTTGAGGATTTCTATTTGCAGTGAAGTTTAATTTATGGTTAAAGAAATAAACAAGTATTTTAGGTAGATTTTGTCAGCCAATTCTATACCAGTCGGCGAACCACGGAAGAAAGCAAAAATACTAAAAAGCTATTTTACCTTAGTTTGAGGCTTCTTAGCAGTGAGCACTAAAGATCCATTAAAGATTGAACCCAAGAAGTTCAGATTACAATGTGAGCATACTCACCACTGAACTACCAGGATGGAATGCAAAGGTCTATGAATTTCAACATTTTTTATTCCACGATATAGCATCAATACCATCTAATTTCGTCGGTAAATATCTTTCCTTACACCTGAATTAGTAAGGCTTAGGGATTAAGACATCTTTTTTAGTAATCCAGGATGGTGAACACCGCTGAAAATTACCAAAACTCTCATGACATATCTCTTCCCTAATTTTCTAGTTCTCCAATGTTGGTTCACGACGAAATCTGCATAGATGAACTTCCTAATACGAAGAAAAGCTTTACAATTAAATAAAATAATCTAAGTAGATTTTTGAAATTCCAATCTATTTTAATCATTTATTCACATCATCTATATAAATCAGAGAAAACCCCGAAATATTCCCTACTACCTGTGTTGTTTTACTGTTCTACTATCAGCCATTCAATATTCAATATCAAAGTTGTTATTAAATAATAAATCATAAATTGTTCACATCTAGTAATCGAAATTTAAACAAAAATAAGACAGAACTATTTTGAAAATCATTTGAATGTAATTTAACTACTTACCTAAACAAGCTGTATATCCAAATATTGGCCAACCCATAGGTCCAGGTGGTAATCGATATGAGATGCGCGTATACAGTAGATAAATGATAATGAGACATAATAATGAAGTGGTGAAATTTGTCAGATTGATTGATGACCAAAGAATTGTCCAAATTGTCATGATTTATAAAGTTTACGCAGGAATGTGATGAAAGGCAATCTGTATTCCGGAAAGAAGAGAAAATGGGGAATTAATAAGGCAGTATGAATATGCTTATTACATATAATGAGATATATAGTTAAATGATTAGCAATAAGCAAATGAATATGGTAGGCACTGAATCAAAAATCTAAGTGTTTACAATACCATATATTCTCAATAGTTGGTTTGTAAGAATTGGATTTGCTTTTACGAGTTGATCACGGATTGATATCAGTGAGAGAATAATTGAAAACCAGGGGGTACTGGACAGCTTTTCATCCTAGTTTGGAAATCATCGGCAGCACACATTTATTGGGGTTCGAACCCAGGACCTTCCGGTTACAAGGTAAGCTAGCTTGTATACTATTCAGCCGCTGAGACCCGATTCAATGGCCAGTGCATGAATTCTAACTTCTACCATTTCGTTATATAGCGCGATAACCATAAATGTTAAATTATGTATGGCAGAAAGTGACCTATAATCGAATGAGATAACCCACAGATGTACTTAAGAAAATAAAAGAAGACTGTGAAATAATAAGCAAAATGTGTCAGGAAGCTGGACTTATATCCCGTGTACATAGACGGTTCAAGCCGATTCCAAATTTCTGAATACTTCGAAAAGGAGTTACGTAGCAAAGATTACAGGCGAAGAAGTCAGTGATAAGTGGCTAAGAAGTTGCGCAATATCATGGTGAGTTCAGCTCATTTAGTAGAAACAACAACAGAAAATGAACGAATAATTTTCATAAAGCGAAAGGAGACAGATGAAACTAACGGACTGTGCAAATGAACGAAAAGAATAGAAAAGAGATTGGATTACCGGGGTAAAGAAAGACTTGTAAATACTAATTCCTGAACACATCAAAATCTGATTCCAAACACTCGGCAGTTTCATAGAAACAGAAAATTTGAGCAAAGCTGGACCGTTTCGTATATCACTTATCTTAAGTGATGTCAAGTTGTTTATTTGATTCACGTTGCGTGTCGATAAGACATCTAGCGATAGGACTATTCAAACAGTTTCCCACCTTGAGAAATTGGCTTCTGTAACATATATCATACATAAAAATGTATCTCTTATATTCTCTTCAACTAGATAATTCAAATTTGTGTAAACAGAGAAATAGTAGATATTGAAATACGAAAACATAAAACAAAGGGTTTCTCGATATTTGAGAACTAAACATAGCTGAAGCATTCGGGGGCGGGAGTAACAAAATACGACAATATTTTAAAACTCAAAGAGGGAAACTTAAATGACTTCACTCATATTGAGAGTAAAACCATTGAATGTTACCAGTGAAAAACCTAGAAACCACGTAGGTCAATGTTTCAGAATATTCAGCAGTACCATCACACACCGGGGTTCAAAATAGTTTACACTATCATAAATTCAGTCTCCTGTGATTCAAGGTAGACACCTCACAATCAAATCAACCACTCAATCATTCATTACCTCACATGGCAATTCGACCGCTGAAAAACCGGAATAAAACTCATTAGATCCCCCTGGGTTTTATTTTTATCTCTGCTCTTGATAGGTCATTTCGGCCAGACACTTGGTTGAATGCTTAATAAGTGAGGAAAATACAAACTCATTTCTTCTGGAACATTCAGTTGATATTTTGACTGAGATGACGTTGGAGAACAAAGAGATGTCTACCTATGGTAATTTCGTGTTCAGATATTTCTAGGCTACGCAAACATCCGGTTGCATTAGAGTATTCGATTATAAATAAAGCGATTTAGAGTTTATGTGAGTTCCCTTGACTAATCGGCACTCAGAAGCCTAGTAGTAGTAACAGCTACATTTGAAGAGGAAAGAGTAAAGGGAACCAACAATCGCTTTTAACCGTTTCTCCAAACACTCGCTTTTTCGGGTTAGATCCCACATTTGGCTTGGCAAGACAACACCTCTGTAATCTTTCTAACTGTCGTCTGTCTTTTGTGCAGGCATACGGAGAAAACGTTGTGAATCAGGGTGGCATTTATGGACTCTCAGTCAAGTATTTGCATTCGCTTAAATCTACGTTTGAAATGACTAGAGTTGCAGATTGACTATAAGACAGAATTGTTGAAGGTCTCCAGCCCTCTAAACATTGTGCCACACTAACTTCTAAGCAGTTAACTGGAGAATGATGAGGAACAATTGAAGCTGAATGAGTGAAGTACAAGGGTTGTTGAATATTAAAATCAGAGACTCGACTTTGTTCGAAGCTCGCAGCAACCTTGAATAGTTCGCATGTTATAAAGATGATTTCCGCCCAAATCAGCGAGATGCGAGAAAAGTGAGACGGAGAGAGAACAGTGAGAAGAGAACACAGAATAGAATAAAGCTGTGCCAGATGAAATTTCCATCCGCCTACAAGACAATGTGTACACGTGTAACTGTCTTGTTCTAACACGTTCACAATCACACCACCACATTTTTATTTGCTACGCTTTTTCTTTCAGTCTCTTCTATCTGTCATTCAAATTATTCACTTACTTAATTACACACATACTTATTCTCGGTCATTTTTTTTTTCAAAATTAAGGTTATACGATGTCATTCAATACCGAGGTATTCATTTGAGGTTTAATTAGAGAACTATTTTGGCTAGAATACTAATTAGTTTATCTTGTGGTCATTTCACTATAATAATATTTGATCAGGTTTTATGCACTATAAGAAATAAAGTCAACTCTCTTGAGTTTGTTGAAAGCAAAGAATTTTTAAATAAATTACACAGAAGTGTTCGCTCAGTTAGCCGAGATAATGAACCACCGGTCCAGTAGTTCAGAGGATGCTGTTTCCATTCCCATGGAAACGTAGATTTTGATTTCACCCCCAGTCATCATGCATCAGCAACATGAACAACACTCAGATAGAACAAGACTATCTCCAGTGATCTCACTATCAGTTAAACAGTCTACTCTCTCCACCTGCTAATCCGTCATATCACTATTATTCCCTTAGGTAATGAGTGGAATATCGGGAGTCAACAGTACATCTCTATTTTTAATCTATTCTCTATAGACTTACATCAGCTGACCCCCTGTTTGTTGATAAGTACTCAATATTCCACTGACACAATCTCCTACAAGTCCGACTTTCATAATCTATTCTTTGATAACTTTATCCGTGTAGTCTACACTTTAAAACAGCATGATGAATTTCAGTAGGAGGAAGCCACACTGGACAACTTGTGTAACGATAAGTAAATGGAAATGTGTCATTTAATTACACTGAGGGCTAAGTGTGTACCTGTGATCACTGCAGTGAAATGATGACCGTGTTATCTATCAGTCAAGTTTCTTAACTCCACTGACAGAACATCAGACTAATAGCTGGCCGGTTACTGTTTCCAATTCTGACACTGTCCTCAACCATCAATCAAAGAGATTTAAAAATATGCTTACTTTGTCATTATCAAGAGAAATCCTTTCATTCGCTTTTGTTCAACACATCGACCTGGTCTTAACATAACCATATCAACTCTTTGAATAGATGTGGACTGCTATTTGTTGGATAGTGATTCCCACAGGGAAGGAATGGACAACCCAGCTGCTTCTAGCGCTTGTTTGCATGGAGGATTTCATCATGAGCTTACATCAGTTGAATAACCATCAGAAAACCAACAGGGAGTACTGGACAACTGCTTCGTCCTAGTTTGGGACTCTTCATCAGTACGCACCACCGGGATTCGAACCCAGGACCTTCTGGTTACAAGGTGAGCTTTTAACCATTGATCCAGTGGGACCCGATCCAACGGTCCCTGAATTCTAACTTCTGCCAATTCTAACGCTTGTCACTAAACAAATCTATGGATCTATTCAACTGTGCTTGATGGAACTGGAGAAGCTGGATTGGGCTCACTCTGCTAGAATTTTATCTCTCTCAATGAAATATTTACTCTGAGACAGTACGATTTACAACTGACTTTCTCATGACTACATTAAGGTTAGCATTGATGATGTTGTCTAGAAAGACAAGGAAGTGTTCGCATTTCAATCATCAAGCTTACAGTAAAGATATCCTGTGTTTCATTCTAAAACTTTATAACAACCATATAGTTTTGATTCATTATAAATTATTTAAATTAATCCCAGCGTGTTAAGAAAATCAAAACAAGATTTTCTTAACACGCTGGGATTAATTTAAATAATTTATAATGAATCAATCTGACTCGGCGCTCAAATTATTCCAGGAAATTCGTAACACCTACGGTCTGGAAACTTATAATCATATAGTTTTGAATTCGATCTTATCACGCTTGACTTTAAGATACACAGCTTTAAATTTATACGTCAAAATATAAACGAATCATGGTCTTTTGTCAATAGGATAATAAGATTGTGCATAGAAATTGTGCAGTTAATCATGATAATAGTAATGAGAATAATCATGGTAATGATTCTACCAATAACATGGATGAAAGTGTGAGTTGATCAGTGTCAACAAGCATAATGAATAACAGCATGATTAAAGCAACAAATATTCAGGAAAAAGTAGTCGGCAAAGGCTGAGAAAAACAAACGGACCGATTAAGTGATGCTTGATTGTGAGGGAAGTAAATGAAGTAAGTTTTGACGAAGATGTGATGAGATTGAGGTATGCTAGGAGAGTGGTTGAAAATATAAGTAAGCGGTGATGGAGAAGTGATCAGTTGGTTAGTTCATAATAGGCCAAGGAAGGGATAATGGCTGTACGAACTTCTTTGAATGCATAGTCTATGCTTAGTGGTTCGAACTCCTATCGCCTCATCTGTGTGAAGTAGACGAATACGAAGTCTGTTGGAAAGATTCCGTGGTGTGTGATGAATTACCTTGAAAGCCTTCGTTCTCTCCACTACATGACCACTATCAACTAAATGTGATAAAATTTAGCTACGGATTGTTTTGTCTGTCCTTTGCCGAACCACGATGAGAGATGTTCAGTAATACGTTGGTTAAACAGTTTAGTAGTGCGCCGTACATTACAACTCCTTTATCGCTTTCATTGTAGAAACATTAGCATTATAATTCTCATTGCCATTATTATGATTAATTCCACATTTTGTATGCACAATCTTATTATCTTATATATATATATATATATATATATATATATATATATATATATATATATATATATATATATATATATATATTTGAGACAAGCTTGGTTAGATTTAATCCGAAAAATTATTTTTCGCCTAAATATGTTGTTGTAGCGTTCACTATGCGAATATCTGTCATTGTGTAGCTTTGTGTCTTAACAAAATTCACGTCAAGTATTTTGATAAGTTAATTATGGGGGAATTATTTGACACGTTTTGTGAATTTTCAAATCATGTTGTCAACATGTTGGTTTTGTGAAACAAATTACCTAGATTTATATATAAGGTAGATTCGTCTCTCAGCTCATTAACCATTTTCGTAAATTTTTACTTTGGCAGTGATATTACTGGAATGTACATATCTACATATTATTTGAGGCGTTCAAGTCTGCAGCTAAATCTCATGCATTGCATAGATGGATCAAGCAATATATTTTTATGAAAGTACTACATAGTGACACTAATTAAATTGTAGCATGAATGCTGTTACTTAGAAAATACCTTCCGCGTGCTCCTAACAAGAGAATTCATCGTTTGCTTGTGAATATCTGGAAAAGCTAAAGATGTACGCTGAGTCCTGTATGCAATAGAGTTGGCGATACGAATGCAGTCAACACCCACTTCTCTATTCACATTCGTCGATATTTTCATCATTGTCGATTCGCAAATTTATTCTTGAAAATAATCAGTCAGGTCTACCCTGTCAGTACCATGCAATGCAATGCAGTGCTGAACAGAAATAAAACTGAGTGAATAATGGGAAGTCGTAGTAGCTGGTATCATCATTCCGCATATCTGTCCAAACACAGAAATAAACAAATCCTATTTTGTCGTTTGACAGAGGTTAACAGTGGAATCCAGGGCGAACATTTCATCCTGTCTGGCCTTCGTCAACTGGACTGACAGAAATCCCACTGAGCACTGGTGTCCCATCTGATGTTCGAACGTGGCAACCATCATTTCAAACGTCAAGGCACTATCCATGACTGAGTTATCTATTGAATAAGACTGAGGACAATAAGTGCTGCAGTTGAGTCAATCACTCACTAGGACGCTGATACACCCAGTGAAGCGTTCTAAGGCGGGGTGAAACAGGACTCCCGTGTCCCACTTCTGGTCACCACCAACCAAATGGTGTCACGCAGACCTCAAGCCATAACCGATGCATGTGCACTAGCAGATGACTTATCAGCAGAAACGCAGAATTTCAAGCCAGTGAGATCGATCAACGGGGAAATCAAAATAATTCAAATAAATAAATGAGTCACGCGTAAAAATTATTCGTTTCGAATCAAGAGAAGATTTAAATTCCTACACAAGTACAGTGAAGTGTCTACAAGACTTCTGATTATATTCAGAGAAGTTTTCATGAATAACACTCATTTTCAAGTGTTGGTTTGCAGGGATTTGATTTGTTTCAAGTTTTATAACTGATTAATATCAAACAGACAACCATTGATTACACATTTTGCAGTCCTGAGTTGCTATTTCATCCTGGCGTCTGTGATTTTTTGCATTTTTCCCATCTTAATGCAGTAATCCTGAATTTTGCAGTGTTTTCCTAATTGTTGTTTTGGTTTTCGAACCTTCTGTCAATGATATCCATTTCACCCAACATTGTTTCGATGAATCTAACCCTCACTGTTTTCTGACTCTTTACAGAAATGTTTCGGTTTTGAAATCGTAAGCGTAGTAGCTAGGCTAAGATTTTAAGACCATAGTTAATTGTCCATACCACTGGCTGTTGGTTTCGTTATATACCGGCAATTAATATAAGGTGAAATTTATTTTACCCTAGTTCGGGATGCAGTTGCTGAATAGTCTACGAGCTGGCTTTGTAACTAGAAGATCCTGGGTTTGAAGACCGGTGGGTACGTACTACTGAAAAGTTGAAAACTAGGACCAAATAGCTGCTGAATACTGCCTGGATTTCAAATGGTTCTCCTAATGATGTAAACTCGTGGTCAAACGAAATACACAAGTTGATGATCATATCTAAACTATCAATTATTATATTCTACTTTATTAGAAGTGGTCGGTTATTAATGGTTTGTAAAGCTTCATGTACTCTGATCCATTCAATTTACAACTGAAGCACATCAAAAGGGTTTAATTTAATTCAATATTACATAAGAAATATTTCAATTCCTCTTTAGAATATGTTGAATTAAAACTGTAAGCCATATTACAAGATGGATATTTCAATGGTTTCAATGCTTCTCAAAGTTACGTTGATTCCTGAAGGAATCTGTATATATTTGAGAACAAGTAAATTCAAACAAACCAAATATATGCAAATAATAATTACTGTCTAATTTTTTAATGACTTACTTTTCAATTATAAACATACAGAAACAAGGAGGTTTCTTCAAACAACTCCAATCCAAATGCGCCGAATTGAAACTTGTTCTACTAAATGATTTCAGTATATTTTGACAATTAATAAGCGAATATTGTGAAAATGTGTAAAATTAGATAATTTGAGTATATATATATATATATATATATATGTATTTGTGGAGCTTGTGACGCATTGAGGAAAAGGTCGAATGATCAGTTATACAAAAACATAAAATTGCAACCAATCAAATCAATTTTATGAATTTACTAGATGATTATTTGTTGATAAACATAATGGCATATACTGTTGCATGTGTTGATTATATAAATATATATATATTAACAAATAAATATGTTTATTGTTACGCGATATTTTTATCAGTTTAGAGGTCATTACGAATAAATAACAGTCACAGAGAATTATTGAAGATTAGATAATACTGGACAATTATTTTGGCATAGTTTACAACACCGTCGACAGTTAACATCTATGACTTCACCGGGTGAATCCAAATCACACTGCACAAGTTATTGGACAAGCACGTTACCACTTAGCCAGTGGCATGGAATCCGAGTGGAGAATAGGGCTTTAAACTTGAGCATTGAAATTTTTTATCTGGGAATAGCAATTGAATGGCGAAAACACAAGCATATCTGTTCAGCGATTTCAGTAATACGATCGTTCTTCTTTGTCATGATTGTTATTTGCCTTGTGGCTGATATGATTAGGATTCTAGACTGGTCGCTTGCATGGCATTCTGTCTGGCTAACTAACAGTGTATCCACTGAAACCAATACTTCAAGGTCTCAGGTATTATCATTCACCCACTGAAATTCTTCATGTACAAAATAAATGGATCAATTTTAGGCCAAGTTCGAAGATTCCAAGATTTCCCAATGTTAAAACAGAAAAACAATTCCCTTCTTCAGATTTAAGTAACTTAAGTAAACTTAAACCTTTAAAACTATATTCCTATAGATATGATTACTAATAATGTACTTAACAAAGTGCTAATCCCTTTTTTCAATCTTAACTAGTTGCATCATCGCTTATTTAACTTCGTGCCTTATATGTCTTTTTTCTCTTCCTTCACATTCGCAGTGTAAAATACGACTTCAAGCTAGTGACTTAAAGTTTCTGTAGCAGTTGCGTTTATTTTTACGGGATGAAGTTGCCAGCCTCATGCCGAACCTTCCCTCTTTACCAGCCCTGTTACTGGCTTAGTAAGTTAGGGGAGTGCGTCCACCGGAGAACGAAGCCCGAACCACCTGCGTGGTCGGCGAGTATTCTACCACTGTGCCACAGGCGTCTCATATGTCTGAATGAGCTTAACTCACAACAGGTTTTCACATCTAATTTGTTTGTGTAACAATTTTCTACTGACTTGCCTAAGTTTCGTATCTCAATATCGTTTTAATACGTTACTCCTCAACCTCTTAGTTTTTTCCTAGAAAATTCCACCACATGAGATATATAAATACTACAACCCTTTATATTATACCACCTCAACATTTTAATTCATTTATGTGTCATGCTCACTATGAATTATTGTTCCACCTTTTATTTCCAATGACCTAAATTATGTTAATATTGCAGTGAAACTATTGACCTTCAATATTCAGGTTGTACCCAGTTGGAAAGAAGCTGACGAAACAAAATGAATCCGCTGTATCCTGCTCCGTCTCTTGTTATCTCCTTACCCAATTTCACTAAGGGGAGTTAGTGCACAGAAAAAATTTCCTTTGGCTGCTTTCACTGGACCGGAATATAGCCATGCCCAGCTGGTCAGTCCCAAATAGGATGAAAAATCCATCCAGTGTTAATCTCCTAGCCAATACCACTTCAATAACATCAAGTTGTTCTCCCCAAATACAAGTGTATAATGAGCGCAAATACCGACTGAACATTTCCGTCCAGTGAAATTAACGCCAGGACCTTAAATGAAATCCGAATGAGAAACAAAGTTTTGGGCATCCTATAGTGACACTATGGCGATGATATAGAGATGAAATGGGAGCTCGTAAGTCATTACGGAGCCAGCTGAAATAGACAACAGAGTACTGTGCAATATAGGTATGTTGCTGAAGATGTATGTCCCACTCGGAATTCATGGGATAAATGATAAATACAATGTAATAATGTCTACTACACAAGAGTCTGTCTTCGTGGCTAGTTTCGGTAATCTAGTGGATAACGCTATGGTATTTGAAATGGCGGGCACTTAGTTCGAGTCTCTTTAGGAACCCTATCGCTCATAATGATGCACTTGTATGTAAAGGACTAGTCTCAAACAGGATCAAATAAGTACTATGAATTCCTTTACTGGCTGCCACGTCTAAAATCATATCAAATTTTCTATAATTTCTTTCATATTCAAAATTCATTCAACCTGTTTTTTTTATATCACTTTACTTAATTTAAAAATGAACTCGTTATTAGCTGGTGTCAGGAACACTTCTCATTTCGAGGACGGATGACGCTGACTGTTGAACGGCTTCAAGAAGCTAGTAGGCCAATGTACTTTACGATGATAGTGGAAGTAGACATGGAGACAAGGTAATGTTGTGAAGCTAACCGAAAATGAGAGTAGAGAAACAAGAGCAGTGGAGAGGTCCTACTATAAAGGGCTGCGTTCGATCAAAATGTAAAAAATGGGGAATAATAATAAAGCTCTTCAATGACGGTACTTATATAATTCATTTACTGAATATTTTTTATAGCGTATATTCGAATTTTTTCTTCCTCCAACACAAAATGCCCTTTACATATACTTAGTGAAATTAATGTGTACAGAATTCCTGAGTTATCGACATTTTTTTCATTCCCTACATTCTTAGCTTCAGACTTTGGACTTTGAAGTTTCAATAGAGGCTTTAGGGTTGCCAAACTCAACCTTCCACCTTTTCCCGGACTTACCACTGGCTAGTCAAGGTTTACGAGTGCGTTGGACAGGGGTTGAACCTAGGTCTTCTTCCTGTCTGGTGAACGTTCTACCAATCAACGACCAATGTACTAACAATAGCGAGATTGGACTGCCTTATAGTTAAGTCTTACGCAATCACTATGATTAGTCATTTGCTGGCTTGACTTTCCGAGTTACGTAATATCTGTATGTAATGCATTTTTGCATAATAAAATTGAATTGTCATTAACAGCACGAATCAGTCTGTCACTTATCTTCTTTTCCTTGGTTTAAAGTGTAGTAGTGAATTCATTAGCAGTAAATATCTGGTTTTTGGTCGAGTTGCCTATTGCTTTTCACTACTGAACTTACAAATCAACGGTATTATAACATCATCATCACCATCCATAACAAGTGAATGCAGTGTAAATTATGGGTTTTTTACAACTTGATAACATTTCTAGGTTGAGTTGCATTCTAAGAAAATGATACATAAATACATGTAGCATTTCATTTATACTTCACTTTATTCCAACTTTCTTAAATATATTTTGAGGGTGAGGTTCAGTTAGCGAAGGATGCTGGGTTCGTCTCCCTGATGAGTCCCGAATGACTCTAGTGGCGTAGTGGAAACGCCTTATGAGTCGGAGGTCCAGCGTCTAGACGCTTGCTGACCACGCACGTGGCCCGGACTCAATTCCCGACCGATGCACACCTAAACCTTACTAAGCCAGTAATAAGGTCGATAAAGCAGGAAGACAAGGTGTGCAGCTAGCAGCCTCATCCTGTAAAAATAGTACCGCTGCTAATAAAACTACAAAGTTCTAGCTTGAAGCCCTATTTTCCACATGGAGCTCAAATCAATAAAATAATAAAAAAGAAATAATCAATTAAATAATCAAGCTAAATAGTATTCTTAAATTTACCGTGATCAGTTTAATTTACATACTCTAGCTTTTTGTGAGTTCAATACTTTAGGATATCTAGTCAAATCTTCTCTGTACATTGTTATTTTCGATCGAACTAGTTCATTGGCATATACCCTGGTTAATTTTCACTTCGATCTTTGTGATTTTGCAAATGACAGATTTAATGACACGTTTATGTATGTGTGTGTGTGTGTAAATTATTCTTTATAGGTGTGTTCTAGGCAATATTCTTCTTTTCACAATAGCAAACTTTTAATATCACCTGTATTTAAAACAATGTGATATTAGTGGATGTCAATGTATCAGCGACTTGTAAATCGACTCGTTGTGAATATTTATCTATCTTTACTGAAACCTGTTTCCGAAAATCATTCATTTAGAAGTTAATTCACGAGTTTCTCATCTAAGCATTTGTTTTCTTTGTTTTCCCCTCGAAGACTGATTTGAACTTTCTAGGTTTAACCCAGGTTCAAAGTATCTAAGTCTGCAGTTGACGGTTCTGCACAGGCTTCACTTATCTCAGGGTTATTACTTTTACGATTCACCGAAAACTGTTCAACCTGTTAATCGGGTAGTACTCGAATAGAAAACAGAACCAGTTAGATCAATTCACTCAGATTTCAGAACATTCTCCTACTCCTGAAATTGGATGACTTTAGTTCTATTCAACTTCAGACCCTCAAGTGGAAACGACTATGTAAGCGTCTATCTGGGTGGCATGGAAAAGATCATGTGAACAGGAAATGATAGCTTGTCGGCAGTCCTAGAGGCAGCTTAAGAAGGCAGTTAAGAATAAAGTGAAATGGAGGTGTGCTTCTAAAGCTTTGTGCTCTACTTGGAAGCAAAGAGATGAATAATGACAGTAATATAATGATAAATAATAGACATTAACTGGGGAGCCTGAGTTGCAGAATTCTTAATCATTTGCTTTTCAGATTTCATGTTATAGAGTAGCATTAAAAACGGATTTAAAATAGATTTCTCTGGTTGGTGGCGATTCTCAAATGAATCTTACACTCATATGATTTAACGCCATAAAAATTTTCAATTATAATAATTTAGATTTAACTAATAGTTTTAAATAATAACAATTACCTACAGTACGTTTCTGTGTTAGTTATTATCAATTATTACGTTGTTTGGCTGTATCATACTGGTTATTAGTCAAGGTTAGCAATATGCTTCCAAAAGAATGGATATCCACGGAATTTCATCAGAAGACATATACCCCCAAGTCAACCTATCAAAGCAAAAGCCACCAAGGAAAACACAAAGAAAATCGCCTTACCATACATAAAGGATATCTCAGAAATCACTACAAGACTCTTCAAACCTTT